AAAAAAATGCCTGAGCGAAATTAGAGCAGAAGTGTTTGTAGGGTGCAATACCTCAGAAAGGCTGACTCTTCGGACAGCATTCGCAATCTAGGACACAGGGTTTTTGGGAATTGTGCAGAACTCTCCTCCCTAGAGTACGCATGGAGCAAGCAGAAAGCATGGACGTGTTTCGGGGGAGGCCGGATGATTGCTAAGGAATCACCCTCATCTGCAAAGGAGGTGGTAGCACTGTCACTGTCCTCCATACAAGAAACGGACAGGACTCAGGAGCGGAGGCGGCCAGTAGAAGGAGAAAAAACAGAAGAAACTGAAAGCAGTACAACCCCGTGTTACTGACCGAAGTGAAGCAACACCTTCCACAACTCCTAGAGCAGTGAAAGGTCTGAGTGAGCATGGACGGTTACCCAAGTAACTGCCCTCTGCACTGTGAGGCTCAAGCCAACCGATGGCCAAGAAGAGTGGGCGGATTTTATGAGAAGCTGTGCAGAAGCGAGGCATGGCGATGTCCAATGCCTTTGAAGGATGCCTCAAACTGACCACCCCTAAATGGCTCCTCCGCATCCCGCCATAGCGATTGGATTGCCCCTTGTTGCTGACAGAGTGAAGGAACGCCTAGCTACAACTCCTAGAGTAGTACCTGCAGACAACGTCTCTCTCAGGAGAAGACCATCAAATCACAGTCGATCTCCAAGAGTTTGAAATTGCAGTACTAGAGCAACTTCCCACAATAGGAGGCACCAGCACATTTGGTTGTAAACTCACCTTTGTTAGACAAGACACTGGTCGGGTAAGCCTTTTGCAATTTTCTGGGGCTCTGTGGCCTATGTGGTATGTGTCCTCTCCGAGTTCTACTTGCTGGATACCGCTTGCAAAAAAGCACCCTTGAGGGAGTCTTGCCTGCGGGGATGTGAGTGTGTGGCTGTCAACTACTGCTCGTGCATGAGGCAGAGATAGCTGAGCTAGCTTATCACATTCCTCGAAGGCGTATTGGCTGACAATGGCACCTATTGCAAGATGGCAACCTCCATCAACAATATTGCCCACGTTTTCCAGCGCACAGCACTCAGCAAATACTCGGACACCAAACTCCACACACCCCGGGCATTTCTGCTACCTGTAGGGAGCAACAGCCTTGGAAGACTGCGTAATAGTAACCTAACGTCACGACCGTATCAGGCAGCTTAACAATCCTCAAGGAGTGGCAATACCGCCACCCTTGCGGGCCTGTTGCAGTAAAGCGATCCAATCGGGCGTGGCGGACTCGCGTGGTCGAGTGGAAGGCTTCAGCTTCAAGAATACCTGAGTCAGAGACAGGGACACGAATCGCCTTCGGGCAGTCTTCATAATTAAACCCTTGCAGCGGCTTATTATTTTCTAAACACCGAAAGCACTCGTGCACAATCAGGCTGAAATGATTGGTATTCCAGAGTTCCTCCTGCACAGGATCTTGAAGCGCCACCTGCGTATCCGCATTGAGCAAGGTGAGTTCACACCCAAACGTCTCGATGGGACTGATGCATGGCAGGTGCTCAATCAGGTATTCCTCTAGCATGTCCCAAGTGTGGTAGATGCTGACGGGGACATGGAGCTGTATCACCGTGCCTGCTAAAGTGGTAAGGTTCAGTCGAAGGAAGCTGTCTTCTTCCCAGTCGGCCTGCTGAAAATGACTCCCGGTTCGGTTCGCGCCCTCTGCCATGTGGGGACCGATTCCGCCGTTGGCAGTCTTCTTTTGCAGACCCTGCAAGGTTTTGCTTGAGCCAAAGTGGCTACGGATACACGCCTGCCACGAGCAGGGAATTGTCTTCCGCTCCCTTTCCTGGGCCTGTAACCCCATCTACTCTTCACTTCCGCCCTGTCATGACGGGAGCGTCTGTTCACCGTGCACCATCCCTCTCAAAGACATAATGACTGTTTGCATGAAGGTGAGTGCATCCACATCTTTTTCACTGGGCTCCTCTTGCTTACTAGGGGCAGCTGTGGCTGCTCTTGCATGTTTGTGTCTGTGCTCATTGTTGAAGGTACAGCACCCTGAGACAAACGCTAAAAGGCCATACTGCCAGAAAAGGGGGTTCGCATAGAGCATTAGCTGCTTGTGAGGGATAAAGAAGCACAACTGATGGCCTTGTTGAACAAAAGCAAACAGTTCTGCAAGTGGCGCGGCAAAGGCATGATTTGATATGAAGCAGATCTTCTGTATAAGCAGCCTACACCTCTGCCGGGATATTGCCAAAGTAAGTCCCTCGGAGTGCTCTTTCAGCAACCCGTCGCCAGAGGATTGTGCGGACGAAACGATTCACTTGCTTGCTTGAGATGCACAGTCTTGCCATTGGCCGTTCTCGGGGTAAATCATCACGGGAGCTGCTCGAGGACAGCAGTTTCAAACTCGTCCAACCGATCAAACTGCCTGGAGATCGATGACAACTTGTATTTCTTCTCCAGAAAAGGGTTGTCAGCACTGTAGAGTTGTAGAGGAGGTAGCGCAACGCCTTTCCTAGCCACGGCGGCAGCAGCATGAGCAGTGGCTTGGTAGCCACGCAAACCTTGCATGGCCGTCTGTTCAGATGCCAGCTTCAGATCAGTGGCTGCAGGGCCTCCTTGCTCCGCGCCCACTTGGCCATTGTCCAGGTCGATTTCTGCCATGACGCGCTGATTCTCATGTGCATTCTCTGGGTGGTCGGACGGTGTGGCTGGGTTCCCGCCAATTGGAGACTCTTGCATAGGGGCTGCCATGTTCTGCTTGCGCAGTTCTATTCCTGGCTGCTTGTGCAGCTCGTTATTTGTGAGCCGTGGAATGACCGCAGTGTTTTTCACCGTGACTTCCTCACCAGACCCACTGGTTGAAGGGTCGAATCTGATTCAACGTTGACGCTGGCGGATTCGTACGTCGTTTCCGTTTCCCCCAATGGAACGAATGCAACTTCGACGTCAAGCGCAATGTTGCATGCCCGATTCACCGGCCTAGGTATGGAGCCGATTCTGCAGTGGAAACTCGTTGGTTGCTCCAAAGAGAGCAGCCTTCAGATGGGCGAAACTCGCCCTCTGCGGACGACATCACACTGCCCGAGATGGGCATGTGCCATGTGCTGAGTGTGAGCAGTCGACCCCAATCACAAGTTGAAGCTGAAAAGTTCGCTACAACGTCGCGAGGGCTGGCTGTTGGTGATACTCTGGTGCGGGACCCAGTGCGGGACCCTTCGAAAACCCAACGTGGGTCAGGTTTTGAGGGCGTGCGAAAGCGTTCTACTCTGTGGCCTCGCGCGAAAGTCGCGGTGCGTGGCATTTTTTTTTTGCGAAGAAACGGCTTTTGCCAAAGTGTGGTCGGAGGAGGGCATCTTCCATCCAGTTGGGGAAATGTTGATTCCGGTGAGGTGATGTCCTTGATTGGCCACTTGTTCGCATGTCCGAGCCTTTTGCGATCTTCTTGTTTGTAGCAGACGTTGGGGTGAATGCTGCAGTGTTGCATCAGTGCAGCATTTTCTTTCACCTCCCTTTCCGTGCTAGGGTCATCTTGAAAACTCAACCTTCGAAGCTTATTTCGCAGCACTGGATGTCTAGGCTAGAGTGGAGGCAGGCAGAGGAAGATGTTTCAGAATGATAACGATGGGCTAAACTGATTCTATAATTTGTTCGCGTCCTTGCCACCTCAACCATTGCTAGCCGGCGAATAGATGGGCGATCGAAGATGGTTGAAAAGGGTTGCTTTGGTGCTGAATGGTGAATCCCCTCACAGCAGAGCGTTGTTGGAAGCAGGTGGATTTTTGTCCAACAGGATGCGCTTTCCCCAAGCCCACGGACATGCTGATACGAAGGTATCATTCCTCAATTTGACGTGACTCATGCGTTTCGATCGGCTCTCCGCAGCTTTTCTCGGGTCCAGGTAAAGGATCCAGCGCAGAGTCCAGCGCACCCGTCCGGCACGAAGTGACGCCGAACTGGTGCGAGGCACCAAACCACGGCGGTTCTCAGAGGCTCCGCGGCTATGCCCATGCCAGCTGCCGATAACAACATGCACATCCCCGCAGGCGACGAGGTGTGGATTGTGTTGTGCAAGTTGCGGCCGCAAAGACAGCTGTCCGACATGGGTGAGTGATACAAGTTGTGGGAACCTGGCAGAGTCAAATTTGCAGTCAGCATGGACAAGAACAAAACAGGTAGAGGTTTCTTGTTGGAGAGAGAAGGTCTTTGCAGGCGATCTTGGACAAACCCAGGCTAGTCTCGGATGTGGACAACTAATGAGATTCCAACACACATTGCCTGTGAACAGTATTGACAAGTCTTTTCCCTTGCCCTGCAGGACCCTTTTACACCTGAAGCAACCCATGTTCCCTGTCCCTTTCGTTCGGTTTTTGGTTTCCATCACCTGCGTGAGAACCGCCAAGCGATTGGTGCAGACCCGCTTCCCCTCTCCTCTCCTCTCTGGTGAGGCAGACCCCTCGGAGTCCAGCTTGGCGCAGATGGTCCAGATGCAGGGAGCTCAGCTGCTGGCGCTGGAGAAGCGTTGCGCGGAGCTGGAGAAGCGCTTGGACGCTCGGCGGGAAAGCCCCACTGTTTGGCTGACGAGCACGTTGGGAAGCTGGTCGTTTCGTGCCACATGATGTGGCTAGGGGTTTGTTGGGTGAACTAAAGATTGCCAGAGCTCGCTCTTTTGTGCACTGTCCAATTGATTGCGACTAGCCTAGCTACAATGTGTTCTCCCAATCCGAATGAAGCGGGAGATTTGGATGTGAACCTGTTGTGCAAACCGGATTGGGGAGTCAACCATCGTTTGCCAAGATGTCCCATTCCGGGCCATCAGTGGGTTGTCGTGTGGGCTATCGTGTGGATTCCGTCGGTTTTAGCAGAGGTTCACAGGGGTCATTTTTGACCAGGCTTGCGATGGTCAGAATTGCGCTGGGAGATTTCAAGCAGCGTAAACAGAACCAGCGTAAACAGCGTAATCAGCGTACCCAGCGGAACCAGCGGAACCAGCATAACCAGCGCAGCCAGCGTAACCAGCGGAACCGCCGTATACAATCAGCATTACCAGCACTGCAGCCACCCTGGTAAGTCCCAGCGCACAATCGTTTGCGGACACCCTTTGCCATATCGCTCCAGAGTTGGAACTCTACAGTCAAACAATATTGATGCTGGACAGTTTTCCAAAGCCTTGTTCTCGTAAATATCATAAAGAGTAGCTAGGTCAGCCAGGCCTCAGTTCCTTTGTTCCACGCTCTTAATTGCAGCTTAACAAGTGCTCACGAAACACTGCTGTCTCAACACCCGTGGGCACAATTTCCTGCCCAGGGTTCGCAAGTGTTGTCGACGATCGCCCAGGCAGCTGGTGTGGATGGCAATCAGCAGTTGTCCGTTGATGTTGACGAGAACCTCCCGACGAACGAAGTGGGCGACGGCACGAACATGCGAGCATCCAGGAGAGCCGCGGATCAGCGGCACGATTGCCACTCCGTCCGATCGGTGCTTTGGGGTCCACGAGTTGCGACTTGTTTGGGTTTTAGATCCAATCTTGTTCTGGTACTACTAGGAACAAGAAGCTACTAGTAGCAAGGACGCTATTAGGTGGAGGCCATCGCAAGTAGGTTGGAGGCCATCGCTACTAGGAGCAAGAAGCTACTACAGCACTTTCGTTCTCTTTACGCCCGGAAGGCCCCAGCAGTTTTCGAACGGGGTCACTGTGAGATGTGGCTGACATACGCGGGTCTGTACCAGGATCAAAGACGTGGACTCGGCGACGTATGCCTTTGAGGCCTCGATGTGGGATGCAGCTTTGCTGGTCTATGTGTCTCGGTAAAGCCAGAGCTGAAGTCTGGGGATTCAAAGTGTGGTACGCTCGCACTTGGAGGCGGCTCCTTCAAAGTCCAAACTAGGTGTTCTGTGCAGCCGAGCAACAAATCACGTGAGTGGCCAGTGGCCACTGAAATGGGCTCTCTTGGCAAAGCATTCACATCAGGAGCAGAGAAGCGGCTGGACATTAACATGTTCAATACTCGGCTTCATTTCATTCTGGCCATGCCAAGGTCCATCAGACGAACTTCACAGATATGGTGATCCTCTTAATCGGATGCGTGACCAATTTGACGCTGCAAGTCTTCTTGCTTCTCACTGTCAGCATGGACATGCTTGACAACAGCTATGAGGAAGAAAAGATACAAGAGATGTTGACTTGGCGTGTGGAGACTGGGCATCATCTTGCCGTCTTTGATGACAGCCGTGGTTTGAGTAGGTTAGACAAGCTATGCAACAACAAGTTACGAGGCTTGCAATAGTCACCAGCCTGTCGTTTGCATATTACAGTTCTTTCTCTAGCATACGACGATCTGTTTCCTTTCTCACCGACTGATGTTGACCTGAGCCGTCACAGGTTGTGGGCCTTTGAGCAGGATGAGTACAACAAGCTGTATGACTACCTGTACAAGCCCATGCCCGGGTTTGCCCTGAGCACGCTCGCTATCATCATGTGGATCTTGACGATCATGAAGGAGTGAGGGGTCTTCATTTCACTGTCCGATGTTCCATCGCGTTTCCAATTCTCATAAAGCGAGCTGTTCATTCCTTCAGTTCACTTCCGGGGGAGTTTCCTGCAGGTTTGTCTCATTTTGATTCTGGATCTAATGCTTTCATAACTTATTTCAAACACTCAAACATTCCCTGGTTGTTCTCTTCAGGCCTTTTGAGACGTTTCCTGGCCAACCCCGAAGTACCCCTCATCTCCTTGGAGCTTTGCCACATCCGTCCTCTCGAGGAGTACCGGCGTTGCGTGGAGCAGGCGTTGGCAGTGTATCACCTCGACAGCAAGGACGTGGTGCGTGGTCGGGAGTTGGTCACCACAGAGGATGATACCATGCAGATTGTGGGGCTCAGCAGAATGAAGAAAGGCCTGGACATGACCGGGCTAGGCGAGAGCACCTGATATATTTATAATCTATAAAGGTGTCTGATTTTGAGGCCCAATGACCCGTTTGTTGGTTGCAGGAACCGCCACTTTTCTGACCAAGATTAAGAGCTAGGACCTAGTGACCTGGTGGGTGTCTTTATTCTTTTTTGTTTTAAGGAAAAACAGGCTCTTCTCACCCAAAACAGGTGGTTGATGGATCTCTTTTAGCACATTGATTTGGTGATTTGGAGGTCTTCTCGGTTTGAGACCATGGGGCTTTGGGCTGTAGCTTCTTGTTCCTAGAAGTAATGCCGGGAGCTACGTTCGTAGCGTCCGATCGCTCCGTTCGTAGCGATGCCCTTTGTTGCTAGTAGCGGAGTTTTGGAGTTTTGCCGTTGGACACCTGGAAGTTGTAAAGCAAACTTATGCCCTTGGCCGGTGGATGTATCTTGAAAAGTTTGAGTGCCCAGCCAGCACCCGAAGTTTCTTTGGAATCAATTCGATGATTGTGCCCTTGGAGATGTCCAATTTGGTTCGATCGATTTCCACATGTGACAGCGTGCGGATGAGCATCATCCAAGTGACCGAGTGACTTTCTTCACTGTGTATATGATCTGCATACGAGTGTGTATTGAAATAGGGAGACCTCCACAAGATCCCCTCGAAAAAGCAAATTCGGGATCTCCCTACTAAAATACGCACCCATATATACCTGTGAACATCCAAAGCAACAACCCTAGATCAGTTCATGGGCCTTGAGGGATCAAGGAGCTCCTTGCTAGCAGCTGCTTGAATCTGCTAGAGTTGTTTTGTGTTTCGACTCCAGTGTGTTGTTCATCCTCACTTGGATTTGTTGTTCTACCGACTCAAGAAGACAGAGAAGTTCGCAACCTAGTTGTGTGGCGGGTGGCCAGACACCCTATTTGGTACTCTTCCGCAACTACTCTTCAGAAACTCTTCTTCAGAAACTATTTTGCGATCTTCAGGAACAATTTGGCGATCTTCAGAAACTATTTCGTGATCTTCAGAAACTGTTTCGCGATCTTCTGAAACTGTTTGGCGATCTTCAGAAACTGTTTCGCGATCGTCAGAAGTCATTTCGCGATCTTCAGAAACTTACTTGCATGCTTTAGAAAGTATTCTTCAGAACTTTTACAATATTGTAACCAAATTGCATGAAGAAGCACTGCGTGGGTGGGGTGGGTGGGTGGGTAGGTGGTTTGGTTGGTGTGTGGGTGGGTGAGTTATTGACGTACCTTGTGACGGCAATGGTATATAGTATGATATACATGCCTATTTTACTATTTGCAGAAACTTTTTAGTGCAGGCTTGATGTTGCTCTTCGACTCTTCGTAGTTTCCGAACATTAGTTTCTGAAGAAAACCGTGGAGTTTCCAAAGATTAGTTTCCGAAGAATAGTTTCCGAAGAACACTTAAAGTTTCCGAAGATCACTTTTGAGTTGCCGAAGATTAGTTTCCACACAAAAGTTTCCGAAGAAAAAGTAAACAATCCGAAGAAAACCGTAAAGTTTTCGAAGACCACCTTTTAGTTTCCGAATAACATTTTGACTCCAGACACCCCTTTTATATCCACGAAATCTCTCATTGCGCGGGCTTGGTTGTGAAAAGACCGACGAACATGTTGAACATGTCGACCAGACATGAGCGTGGGATGGAGTTCTTCCACCCCGTAAAAAAGTTAGGGTTATTATCTTATGATCACCCGTTGGCATCAAAATCGATGTGCAAGGCTTGGCTTTGGTCTTTTTGAGCCTGCCACGACTTGGAGTGATGTTCTCCCTCGCGGTCATCGGTAGCATCTACTTGGCGCAGACGGTGCCCTAGCTTGTGGAGAGTAGACAGGGGGAGGAATGATGGACTGGACGTTGTTCTGGCCCAAATGAAATGACTGGATGACTGTGAGGTGAGCTTGCAGGATATCGTGCTGAACGCAGTGGCGCCTCGGAGAAGAGTTTTTGGGTACTGTCAAAGTGAGGCAAACTTAGTGCAGTTGCTGAGCATCCTCTCAATTCTCAATGGGTCAAGGATCTCAAAGAAATTGATACAAGCGGATGTACAAGCACGGGTCGAAAGCTTGAGTTTAGGACATCTACAGTCCACAGGGCGTTTGATGAGTGAATTCTGCAGAACATTCGAGATTCCGCGGACCTTCTCAGGGACTGGCGTTTGTGATGGACGCGGACGAACTGCTGGCCGATGTCATGTTGACCGAGCGTTTGCGGTCAGTGGTGGAGAAGGTGGGAAGAGACTCTTTTCCAAACATGAAGAGTCGGCCGCGCATGCTCTCCCCAACTAGCATAGCCAAGGGTCTTCCAAAGCCGTGTGGAAGAGCTGTGGGGCTGAACACATACGATTATTCGGTTAGTAACATATTTCTGTTTCGATTATATATATATATATATTATTATCATATATTTTTTTGCTGTATATGGTTGGAGTCAGTCTGAGTATGCACAACTTACAATCAGATTCCATGTTTTTTCTTCCAGACCTTCCGTTGCATACCCAGCTTTTGACCCAGCTGAGACATCGAAGAAAAACCAGCAACTGTTGAATGAACAAACCTTCCTCGGTCGAGCCGATGAAATGAAATGGTGCGCGCTCGACGTGTCATTTGGGGCTGTAAGAAAGGGTATGGTCGAGGTATAGTTGTGTCAAGGCAAAACGCTCAAACCTTGCAAGGTTGTTTACATCTGCAAATGTGACATCCATCAATCAGGTGTCCGTATTTTTCACTTTTCTGGCCCAACCAAACGACCAACGGTGACCAACGGATCAACATGAGCATCCCACCAGCTGGGCACACGTTTTTGGTCACATCTTTCACACCGGAAGCCCTTTCCCCCTCTCTGGCAGGTGGAACCGATGACTTGCGGCAAGATCAGTCGAAGAGACAGCAAGCACCTCCCTTACAAGGCTGGGGGTTCGGAAGTTGGGTCGACGCGGGTTTACCCGAGAGATGGGTTCGGTCACTGGTTTTCACAGAGGGTTGGGCTCCGGTCCGTCACTGGTTTTCCATGAGTCACTGCTTAATGGCTTAGGTTTAAAGCAGTGGTTGATGCTGGGTTTAGGAGAGTTTGCCTGGCTTTTGGGGCTTTTGCCACTGGGCTCTTCAAAAAAGAGCAGTGAGCTAGAACAATTTGGTTCGGGATCAGAGAATGCACGATGTGGTTTCCAAAGAGGACGCTTTTTAAGTTTGGCAAAAATTGGCTTGTTTGGGTAGGATGGATGCCAGCACTAGGAACCCTCAAGGTACCTTCAAAGAAAGAAGAAGCTTACAGAGGATGGTTGTTTCTTCCTTAGGCGCTGTAAAATCCTTGCTCGCACAAAATCTCACACAGTCCTCTATGTCCCCCTGACCTCTCGATATCCAGCGATGTTCACGCCCAGGTGGCATAGGGATGGGCGTTTTGTGAGAATGATAACTGGCATGGCCGCATGGAACAAAATGAAGTTCAGAAACTGGCCTGGGTTTCAGAAGCTATTTCCACCGGGCTCAGGAACTATTTCTGGTAGCTGCACTGGCCGTTCATTTCTTTCTTGGTTGATGCGTTCGTCCTGCAACAGCGCCAGGACATGCTGCGATATTTCATCACATTAGGCGCCAGGGCGGCAAGTTCGTGGCGGAGTCGCTGCAAATAGATGGTGCAGGATTTTTTCAACAATACTACGTTCCTTGGGGTGGATGCGCGGGGAAACACATACAGCCATGACAGTAGGACCACCGACCTTGAACGTCCACGAAGAATTCTCGTCCGACCGGCATCGACCGGTCTCAGATCGGTCAACTGTTCAGACGTCCGAGAGGCTTGATTATCGCAGCAGTTCTCATTTGGCTGGTGCCCTTCCAGCAGCATGTTGAATCAGCGTCCTTGATCTTATGTGGAGGCTACCAGGACTGGGACCGGGTCTACTCTTCTAAGGACATGCTAAAGGGAACGTTTGAGAGTATTGACGACATTAACACTCATTTGCACTCAGTCTTGGGGAAAGGCAATCTTTGAGAAGAGTCAGTGCTGCAAAAAGACAGATATTTAGGATGCAATCGGAAAAGATTCCAGGCATGTGGTGCTACTGGGTCAGTCCATTATAGATCCACAAGTAGAAGCCTGAAGAATCATATGATCTATAGTATAGAATGCAGACCTAGGAGAGCGACAAAAACAAACCTTTGCATCACACGATCAGAGCGAAAAAAACATGGTCTATGGCGTGTTTTGGCTCACTGCCTTTCTTACTCTGCTTACTCCAGGAGTTTAGCTACGATGGAGGCATCGACACGGCTCCAGATATCGTGCTGCACCCAAAGACTTATGGCAACGACATTTGGGGCTCCACCTGTGCCCAGGGCGGCATGACAGTTGTCACACTTACTTTCGAACCATTGGGGTCCGGAGTTTCCTTATTTTTTATTTTCATACAAGATTTTGGAGTCATTGGTTGGGGATGACATGGAACTTGTCTTCACCAAACTTATGATGTGAAAACCCACCAGTCCTTTGACATGTGTCCGGAAGGAACAGTCGACCACTCGTGCTCGACATGGAACGCCCAGCATCCAAGTGCCGAGTTGGGATGCAGAAGCATCGAAAGCGTTCGAGGAACCACTAATAGCGTCCTTGTTACTAGTAGCGATGCCATTTGTTCCTAGTAGCGTCCTTGCCCCTAGTAGTAAGGCCAGGAGCCCCTAGTAGCTTCTTTGCTCCATTCCTGCTTTCTTCTGTGGTCTTATTTTTTGATGAAAAGCATTGATGTGGACTCTTCTGGTTTAGATGGCTGTCACATGGAAAAAAGCACAGTAGACCAGTTCCAGGACTTAGGCGTGGGCAGAAGATGCACTCGTGGTGTTTTTCACTTGCCCAACACCCCAAACCTGCACGAACCATTTGGGACGCGTTTGAAACAGAGACTTTCCCATTATTTTCGTGTCCAAACTCTTTACACGGGCATGACCAAAAATGAGACCCAACTTTTGATGGCATAATCCTTCGTGTCCTGCAAACAAAACTGACTAACAAGTCCACCAAGTGTTGATCTTTGCAACACTCCGGTGATGGCGGGTGAACGACCACACCTGGTCGTGGACCCACTGCACGTCTTTTCGATAGCTGAGGTGACCCAACCATGGAAGAGCTCTACCTCAGCCTCCACTACGGTGCCACATTCAACTCCAGTTTGGCTTTGAACATCTCCCAGCCGAATTATCCCGCCAAGAGGACGCAGACGGTCATGAACTTTGCATTGATGCAGGGGAATTGTGGGACAGGTGACCTGGAACAAGAATTTGGAAACCAATGGCAGCAGTCGATGAGAGTCAATGGCAGCAGCCATATGGTGTGGCCTAGTACAAGGAATGCAGGATAGAAACCTTTTGACAGTCTTGTTTCTGCCAACTGCTTAAAACCACGCGTGTAGTGAAGCTGTTTGTGCATATTCTGTAATGAATTGTTTGCATTCTTGTTTGGCAATCCGTTTTGCTGCTTTGCTTTTGTTGGGGCTTGGGAGAGTCGTTCCTGTCTTCGATTGCGTTATGTGATAAGTGCTTTTTTAACATGGAATAAGTTGTCCAGACGGATGGCTGCCCTTCATACTTTCGACTTTGCTCAGATTATGGTTTGCGCCACGAAGCTTGCAATTGTTCCAAAGGAGTGTCCTGTGTGAAGAAGCGACTTTGCTCTGGAGAACAGCTGTTGATCCACACCGGTTTAATCGATGAAATGTGGAGACTGTGCAAGGAAAGCATGCCAACAATGCTGAAATTGCGCTGGCGATGAAACAACCTCAACTATGGAAACACATCGACGTTGGAAGTGGCGATGACATCACAAGAACGAGGACCTCTTGGAATGCTTTGGCAAAAGATTGATCAAAAGACTCGCATGAGCGCAAATGTTGGAGGAGAAAAAATAGTCGCGCCCAGATTGCTCGAAGCCTCAGCTTGGTCACACTTTCATAAAATGCCATTGAAAGCTGGGCGCACAGCACATTCCTCGGCTTAAGAGAAGCACGGCTGTGGAAAGCGCTCATGAGCCCGGCGGATTGCTCTTGTTTTGAACCTCAATAGATTGTACAGCTCCGCAGTGCCGGTTGGGCGCGTGTTCGCTATCGTGTTCAGTTTCGGACACTTGCTTACTGTTCCGTTGCCTTTGTATTTCTTGCTTGATTATTATGATTGTTGTTCCTTTCGCATGCGCCGCCCGAGACCTCGTATCAAACACGTTTAAGGCGCGCGCGAGCGCGTGGGCAAGCAAAAACAGACCGCGCAAAATCCCTCAGGCTGGTGGTGACCAAAAAGATGGAAAACATTGTAAATATCAATGGTTTTTGCAGCTCTCGGTGTCCCAAAACCACGATATTTGCGTAGTTTTTGGTGCTTTTACGCCAGGAAATCACGTAAGTACCGATGGTCTTGAGCTATCGAGTGCCCAAAACCACGGTATTTACATGTATTTACGGTGTTTTCTCGAAAAGCGCAATATTTTCAGCATTGCACACCGCACCCCAAAAAACGTCGATATTTACACAGCTTTTGCAACGCCGCGACATGTTTTTTCTAGATCGAAATTTGTGAAAACACTGTAATTTGCAGTGTTTTGCGCCTTGCCAAATCGAAACAAAAACATCAAAGCTGTCCCTATAAGGCCCAAAACCAGCTCCTATCCTGATCCCAATTCTTTTGTCCAATTAGCATGTTTTTTGACGATTTTTTCGACCCTCCTGTTGTTGGAATCGCCCCAGGGGCAAAAACGGCTCGAAGTGCAGGCGAGAGCGGAATTTTGTGATTTCAAAAAAATATCGTCAAGGGGGGGCGCCGGCATCGGGAGCACCCCCCCGTAGCTAGCTACACCATACGGCAGATTTATGAGGCTTACGCCTGACAGCCGGGCGCCGGCCCACTTGGGTCTGTGTAGGGCTGGGTTCTCTCTCTCTCTCTCCCTCTCCTCTCTCTGTCTGTCTCTGTCTCTGCCTCCGTCTTGGTATCTCTCTCTCTCTCTCTCCCTCTCCTCTCTCTGTCTGTCTCTGTCTCTGTCTCTGTCTTCCGTCTCGGTATCTGTCGGTATCTGTCTCTGTCTCTGTCTCTGTCTCTGCCACAAGGTCGTGGGGGCCCCGCGTACGACAGGGGCCGGGACTTCGGGCGTCCCGGTAGCATCCTTCTCGAGAAGGGGGCTGACGGCCCGGGCGTATACCTGGTATATGCCGAAATCGGGAGAGCCGTCTTGCACATGTCCTACCGCCTCTCTCTCTCTCTCTCTCTGTCTCGCTGGGTGTCGCGGTCTTGCTTTGTCCCTCTCCCGCGCTATGTCTGTTGCCCTCGCTTTCCGTATCCCTCTCCCTGGCGCTGTCTCTGCCTATTCGCTGTTTCTTTCCCTCCCTCTCTCTCTCTCT